GTGAAACCTTCATGACATTTACACCCTCAAACACGTCTGATACCATCGTTTCTCTATCAGTGGAGACCGTCATGACGTTTACACTCACTGATAAGTCTGATACTATCGTATCTCTATCAGTGGACACAGTCATGACATTTACACTCACTGATCAGTCTGATACTATCGTATCTCTATCTCTATCAGTGGAGACCGTCATGACGTTTAAACTTACTGACACGTCTGGTACCATCGTATCTCTATCAGTGGAGACCGTCATGACATTTACACTCGCTGATAAGTCTGATACCATCGTATCCCTATCAGTGGAGACCGTCAGGACGTTTACACTCACTGATACGTCTGATATCATCGTAATTCTGATACTATCGTATCTCTATCTATATCAGTGGAGACCGTCATGAGGTTTAAACTTACTGACACGGCTGGTACCATCGTATCTCTGTCAGTGGAGACCGTCATGAATCTATCAGTGGAGACCGTCATAACATTTACACTCACTGACACGTCTGATACCACAGTTTATCTATCAGTGGAGACCGTCATGACATTTACACGCACTGATAAGTCTGATACCATCGTATCTCTATCAGTGGAGACCGTCATGACATTTACACTATACTATCGTATCTCTATCAGTGGAGCCCGTCATAACGTTAACACTCACTGATTAGTCTGATACTATCGTATCGGTATCAGTGGAGCCCGTCATGACATTTACCCTCACTGATAAGTCTGATATCATCGTATCGCTATCAGAGTCTGATACCATCGTATCTCTCTCAGTGCAGACCGTCATAACGTTAACACTCACTGATAAGTCTATACTATCGTATCTCTATCAGTGGAGATTGTCATGACGTTTACACTCAGGGATAAGTCTGATACCATCGCATGTATATCATTGGAGATCTGCATGGCATTTCACACTTTTAAATCTACTGGATGTAAAGACACACAGAATGGCTTTGGATAGTCATAACGTTAACACTCACTGATTAGTCTGATACTATCGTATCTCTATCAGTGGAGATTGTCATGACGTTTACACTCAATGGTAAGTCTGATACTATCGTATCTCTATCAGTGGAGATTGTCATGACGTTTACACTCAGGGATAAGTCTGATACCATCGCATGTATATCATTGGAGATCTGCATGGCATTTCACACTTTTAAATCTACTGGATGTAAACGTATCGCTATCAGTGGAGATCGTCATGACGTTTACACTCGCTGACACGCCTGATACCACAGTTTATCTCTCAGTGGAGACCGTCATGATATTTAAACTCACTGATAAGTCTGATTCCACAGTATATCTATCAGAGGAGACCGTCATGACGTTTACACTCAGGGATAAGTCTGATACCATCGCATGTATATCATTGGTGCTAACATCGTATCTATATCAGTGGAGACCGTCATGGCGTTTACACTCACTGACACGCCTGATACCACAGTTTATCTATCAGTGGAGACCGTAATGACATTTACACGCACTGACAAGTCTGATACCACAGTTTATCTATCAGTGGAGCCCGTCATGACATTTACACTCTCATGACGTTTACACTCACTGGTAAGTCTGATACTATCGTATCTCTATCAGTGGAGATTGTCATGACGTTTACACTCACTGGCACGTCTGATACCACAGTATCAGTGGAGACCGTCATAACATTAACACTCACTGATAAGTCTAATACTATCGTATCGCTATCAGTGGAGACCGCCATGACGTTTACACTCACTGACACGCCTGATACCACAGTTTATCTATCAGTGGAGCCCGTCATGACATTTACCCTCACTGATAAGTCTGATATCATCGTATCGCTATCAGTGGAGACCGCCATGACATTTACACTCACTTATAAGTCTGATCCCACAGTATATCCATCAGTGTAGACCGTCATGACATTTACCCGCACTGATAAGTCTGATACCATCGCATGTATATCATTGGAGATCTGCATGGCATTTCACACTTTTAAATCTACTGGATGTAAAGACACACAGAATGGCTTTGGATAGTCATAACGTTAACACTCACTGATAAGTCTAATACTATCGTATCGCTATCAGTGGAGACCGTCAGGACGTTTACACTCACTGATACGTCTGATCCCACAGCATATCTATCAGAGGAGACCGTCATGACATTTACACTCACTGATAAGTCTGATATCATCGTATCGCTATCAGTGAAACCGTCATGACATTTACACTCACTGATACGTCTGATATCATCGTAAATCTATCAGTAGAGTCCGTCATGACATTTACACTCACTGATAAGTCTGATCCCACAGTATATCTATCAGAGGAGACCGTCATGACGTTTACACTCAGGGATAAGTCTGATACCATCGTATCTCTATCAGTGGAGATTGTCATGACGTTTACACTCACTGATAAGTCTGATACCATCGCATGTATATCATTGGAGATCTGCATGGCATTTCACACTTTTAAATCTACTGGATGTAAAGACACACAGAATGGCTTTGGATACAAATTTCAACACCTTCACAATCAAACTAAATGTTGATAAGACATATTGAAAACGTTACAAGAATACAGTCAAACCCTGAAAGAGTCGATCGAAAAATGAAACATTGAATTCTAGTTATAGCTTGATATTGCCTGTTACACAGAACCCTTATATACTTGGTACTTTACCCTGCCATTGAGAAGTAGTTTATAGGTGTGCTTGGTTCCAACAGATCAGTGTAGGAAGAATTGATGAGCTTGGTTCTGTCAAACCAGGTTGATTTATCGCAACCTTGCGCATCAAATTCAAGGAATGCCTTCTGTTTGTGACCGACGTAAACACCGACTTTCACCTATAAATAAAACACGAAATAACAAATACATTGTCAAACGTATCATTATTCTTTATTTATATAACAAATTGTATGATTGGATCATACTGCTCGCAGGGAAATAAAAAATCGGGTAAGCCTCACGCACTCGAGTTTCCCCAGCTATGTTTATTCGGAGCCTCTTTGCGCCACCAATCCCAAGTGAACATAGCAGACAACAATTGCGCTTAAACTTGATCTTCTGTACTATCTTGTAATTGTGACGGAGAAACCTGTGTTGTTTATCGGAATATTTCTCATGAGATTTCAAAATGTAATAAATATGTTTAAAGATTCTTCTGCACAAGGCATACCTACATTTTCTATGCAAGAGAGGATTTATAACGATCGCAGTCGAGCATAACTTATTTGGTAGGAGTTGACTGAACCTTGTTTTGAAACGTTATATCACATATATATTATTGCATTGATTGTTTCCCTGAAGACGGGTATGACTATTCGGTATTTCAGCGTCAGTGAACACAATTGATGTAAATGCATTCTTTATTTCATTTGATCAATTTTTTACTCGTTCTTCATTATTAAGTTGACATTTGTTTGTAATAACAGAACAGATAATAGAAAGGAGACAAAACATCATCCTTAGAGGCTTTTTGCGTTGTTGTTGTCATTTCCTACATGAGTCTAAGCCATTTATTCCTTGTTTACTCTTACCTTTGTTATGTTCATGTCGTCCCAGTAATTGATGATGTCCGACTTGTAATGGTCTCTGAATGTATTGTTAAGGATTTGCGCTTCCACCACATAACTGTTGAACGTTGTATTGCCCAGAAATAAATCGTAAATACTTGTTGATCCTGGAAACAAATATTGTTTTTAAAAATCGAAACGATCAATTACCATATATATTGGCTGTTAACAAGTACTATTAGCAATATTATTTCATTTTTTTGTATCAAAGTTTTGCTAACATTGATTATAGATATCATTGAAAGGGTACAAGGAGAATAGGACCAGGCATTTAGGAAAGATAATCGTATTCTGCTTAATCGCCAAAAATCCATCATGTAATCGAAATAATTGCATGACCTCAAAGTGAAACCTTTGGTGCTGAAAACGAACACCAAGGTTAAAAAATGAACAAAACCAAAAAACTTCAGACATCCATATTGCACTAAAATATGAAATATTTTCAAATGAGGTAAAAATGGCGACCGTAAATAATGTCGGTAAACCTCGTGTCTCTTTACACAACTTCAAGCTACTAACTTTAGTCAGATAAACATGACCAAGCACGATTCTTTAGGGAACCTATATATACTCATCACACTTAGATGATTACAATAGGGGAGACTGGGGCAAGTTCAGCCTCGAGGTAAGTCCGGCTTTCCCTGATATTTTTGGTTTTGAGCAAACATTTACAACTATGAGAAACGAAGTAGTTTATTTTGCTGGGCGGGACATTCAAAAAATATTCACTCCCATTCACGGTTATAAAAGATAACGAGGAAACTTAATTATAAAATTACTTAAAAGGAGAAAGTAATTTTTTGGAGGAAAGAAAGAAAACCATGACTTCACTTCTCTTTAGGGACTTTCATATTGTCATACTAAACGCATTTATTTAAATATCAATTCGGAACATGATGCCGGGGCAAGTTTAACTCATGCAACACATAAGAAGTCAAGAAGTTGGCGGGAAAATCTTACGTTGAATGCTTTATGACGTCATGCCTGTCTGAATTTCCCCCAAAGTGGTGCACGTTCGGCCATCCAATCATCCATCAGAAAAAGCTGAATACTTCTTCATGAATAGACGTGTTTTCCCTATTGCTATTTTTCATGAAAGGCGTGGAATTTCTCTTCTAATACTTGAATACAAATGGGTCTAGCTTGCTCTGGTCTTCCCACTATTCAGGTTATATCGTCTAAAATTATGTAACACATCTCAAACAGACTAGAATTTTATTTGACTTATCTCACTGTTAATATACCATAGTCAAACGTTTGATATACTTACCGCCAGTCACCCCTTTAAACACCAGTACCCATCCGTCATTGTCTGAAGACCATGCCCCTGTGATTAAGTGTATACAGATAATGTGAAGTAGCATTTAAACCTTCATGAATTCACTTAGTCCAAAAAATATACATTTGGACATATAGCTTGTACACCTATCTAACAAACACTGAATTGGGTAGGGCTATATTCATGTCTTGAACAATCTGACCTGCTCAATATAGTAGTAAACGTTTTTGTGGTATATAAAGTTTTTTGGCAATGTTAAAATAGATATGACAATTTCTTGTAGTACACAATAGCTTTTTTTTTTTTGCAGTAGGAAGTTCTTTAAAATAAAATGAAGTTGGAAATAATTTCGATGCTAAAACGAAACCCTAAAAATGTTTCAACCTTTAATTATCAAATGTTGTGCCAAGAAATTTTCCAAATGTGTAGCAAATGAAATGCATTTGCCATTGTCAAATGAAAAAATTCTAGTTAAACATACTTTGAAATAGTTGATTTTAGAATAGTGGTATGAAGGTATCGTATCGAAAATATGGGCCTATCGGTTGTTAGATTATCGAAATATAGTGTTAAAAAAAACACCAATCCGTATGTCAATCATTCAGATTACTTGCCTAAAGTAACAAAAGTAATGGCATAGGTTTTTTGAAGATACGGCATTCAATAAATAACTGAATGTTCTCGTGTCTTTGATTTTAAATTGATCGATTGGTATTTATAGAACACTTTACAAACGTCTTACAATCGTAATATTCGATAGTAATTACGCGAGTTTATATATTAGTAACATTTGATATGTGGAAATAGGTTTAGATTTGAAAACGAACATGAATATATCCAAATGCTAATTAAATCAGTAATATTTCCTTCATAAACGAAATGTTTAGTTCAAACACTTTTTTATGTGCAAGACATTCATATCAATGATTTGTGAAATAGCAACTTGTATCCTAACAGAAGGTTCTTAGAATTAGTTTGGATGGATGGCATACAATGAGATTTGGCTGGCTGGCTGAAATATAACCCTCAACAAACCATGACATTGATTTATTAATAGTAAATGACTAAATTGAGAATTCACAACATAAACCGTGCCACCAGTTACCGAATGACCCTCTTGAACGATGATGAAGGGGCGCAAGTTTGCTCTTTAGCACTTTCCTCGGACATCAGTTCTTACAATTCTAACTATGTACATTAGAGATTCTATAGAGCAGGTAAAGACAATAGTATATCTACGATTGTATGTGTATGTAAGTCTATGATAAATATAGGTAGGAGCGTGGAATAAAAGACAAAAGATCGATGTCAAATAAAACAAAACGGGGTGTGACTGTTAAATCAAAACGGATGGACATTGCACTGATAACGGAAATTTGGTATTAGTGGATTAATGGATATTTATCACGAGAAGGTTTAATCAAACACAGGTAATAGACAGAACGAACTTGGCATAAAGCAGCGTATAGACCCTAACACATGAAAAGCTGAATACGATTCTTTGTAATGCACAAATTATTACTGTATTTGCAAACAGATGATATACATTTGAAGAGCCTCAGTGAGTAAGATCAATAAATGTTTTTTATCTGGATATCATGTGAAAAGGTACGTGCTACTATACCTTTTTGGTCTGATACATTATTTAGTGATAAGAGTCACGCACTACTAACTTGAATCAAACCCATGCTGATAAAATGATAAGTGACTATGCAGACGAACCGTTAGAAATAACCAGACAGAAAAGAAACAATATGTTTTTAGAACTGGTATAACTGAAAATATCCTCTATTTCACACCATCAGACTAACAATATAAACAGCGGAAACAAACAAGTTACGCGAATCTCAGACAAAAACCACACTGACATTATCAACAGCGGAAACAAACCAGTAACGTGAATCTCAGACAAAACCCACACTGACATTATCAACAGCGGAAACAAACAAGTAACGCTTTTCTAAGACACCCCCGCACTGACAATATTAACAGCGGAAACAAACCAGGAACGTCCATCTCAGACAAAACCCGCACTGACAATATCAACAGCGGAAACAAACCAGTAACGCGAATCTCAGACAAAAGTCACACTGACAATATCAACAGCGGAAACAAAGTAGTAACGTGAATCTCAGACAAAACCCACACTGACATTATCAACAGCGGAAACAAACAAGTAACGCTTTTCTAAGACAACCCCGCACTGACAATATTAACAGCGGAAACAAACCAGTAACGTCAATCTCAGACAAAACCCGCACTGACAATATCAACAGCGGAAACAAACCAGTAACGCGAATCTCTGACAAAACCTGCACTGACAATATCACCAGCAGAAACAAACATGTAACGTGAATCTCAGACAAAAGTCACACTGACATTATCAACAGGAGAAATAAACCAGTAACGTGAATTTCAGACAAAACCCACACTGACATTATCAACAGCGGAAACAAACAAGTAACGCCATTCTAAGACAAACCCCGCACTGACAATATCGACAGCAGAAACAGACCAGTAACGCTATTCTTAGACAAAACCCACACTGACATTATCAACAGCGGAAACAAACCAGTAACGTCAATCTCAGACAAAACCCGCACTGACAATATCGACAGCAGAAACAAACCAGTAACGCTATTCTTAGACAAAACCCACACTGACATTATCAACAGCGGAAACAAACAAGTAACGCCATTCTAAGACAAAACCCGCACTGACAATATTAACAGCGGAAACAACCCATCAACGTGAATATCAGACAAAAGTCACACTTACAATATCAACAGCAGAAACAACCCAGTCACGCGAATCTCAGACAAAACCCACACTGACATTAGCAACAGCGGAAACAAACAAGTTACGCCATTCAAAGACAACCCCGCACTGACAATATCAACAGCGGAAACAAACCAGTAACGTAAATCTCAGACAAAACCCGCGCTGACAATATCAACAGCTCAAACAAACCAGTAACGCGAATCTCAGACAAAACCCGCATTGACATTATCAACAGCGGAAACAAACAAGTAACGCCATTCTAAGGCAAAACCCGCACTGACAATATCAACAGCCGAAACAAACCAGTAACGCGAATCTCAGACAAAACCTGCACTGACAATATCGACAGTAGAAACAAACCAGTAACGCCATTCTAAGACAAAACCCGCACTGACAATATCAACAGCGGAAACAACCCATCAACGTGAATATCAGACAAAAGTCACACTGACAATATCACCAGCAGAAACAACCCAGTCACGCGAATCTAAGACAAAAGCACCACTGACAATATCACCAGCAGAAACAAACCATCAACATGAATCTCAGACGAAAGCGACACTGGCAATATCAACGTGGAAAATAATCATCTTCGGACTTAACTCCAAATGACATGATCAACAGCGAAAACAAACCATTATTGTAAATCGCAGGAAAACCCCACACTGACAATATCAACAGCGGAAACAAACCATTATTGTGAATCGCAGGAAAAACACACACTGACAATATCAACAGCGGAAACAAACCAACTCATTTTCAGACAGAACCCGAACTTTCAATATCACCTGTGGAACCAAAGTTATGTTCGGACGAGCTCAACAATGTCAATATCAACAGCAGAAACAAAGTCATTTTCAGACAAACCCACACTGACAATATCAACCAGCGGAGGCAAAGGTTTTGCGGACAAACCAGCAATGACAATATGAGTAAGATCAATAAATGTTTTTTATCTGGATATCATGTGAAAACGTACGTGCTACTATACCTTTTTGGTCTGATACATTATTTAGTGATAAGAGTCACGCACTACTAACTTGGATCAAACCCATGCTGATAAAATGATAAGAGACTATGCAGACGAACCGTTAGAAATAACCAGACAGAAAAGAAACAATATGGTTTTAGAACTGGTATAACTGAAAATATCCTCTATTTCACACCATCAGACTAACAATATAAACAGCGGAAACAAACAAGTAACGCGAATCTCAGACAAAAACCACACTGACATTATCAACAGCGGAAACAAACCAGTAACGTGAATCTCAGACAAAACCCACACTGGCAATATCAACAGCGGAAACAAACAAGTAACATGAATCTCAGACAAAACCCACACTGACATTATCAACAGCGGAAACAAACAAGTAACATGAATCTCAGACAAAACCCACACTGACAATATCAACAGCGGAAACAAACCAGTAACGCGAATCTCAGACAAAACCCGCACTGACAATATCAACAGCAGAAACAAACCAGTAACGCGAATCTCAGACAAAACCCGCACTGACAATATCAACAGCGGAAACAAACCAGTAACGCGAATCTCAGACAAAACCCGCACTGACAATATCA